AAAATGGCCTCCCCCGGGCTCCAGAGGCGCTCCGGAAACAGGAAACGCTCCCGTTTTTGGACTTCCAGAACATTTTTCCTCCTCCCAGAGCCTCTGCGTGGATCCTGCACTTACCTGCCTTCAAAATGGGCCACATGGAGACTTCTGGGAAGGGCTGGGGCCAGCCAGTTGGTTCAACTCCGGGTTTGGCGAACCCGGTGTAAATTTAATAGCCAGTTCGCTCGAACCGGCCCGAACCGGCTTGAATCCTACCCAGCCAGATCTGGGCCATAAAAAGCCACCCATCCCAAAAGTCACCCAGGTAAGAAATACACGTGCTCCCCTTTCTTTGTCTCTCTGGGGCTCCAGGTGGAGGAAGAAGAGAAAGAGAGAAACTACAAGCAACTCCTGAACTGGGACAACCAGAACTTGGTGCTTTCTGTGGAAGCCATTCAGTGCCCCATCTGCTTCATGAACCTGGAGGCCGGAGAGGGGGTCACCCTGCGTGAATGTCTCCACTCCTTCTGCAAGTGAGCCTGGCTTCCAAAACGCGCTCAGGGTTTCGTTATCAAGGCCTGGTCAAAAGGCAGAGGAGGAAAACCTGGACGATCTCTTGGTGACAGAGAGATCTGAGATGGGTTTACACAATTGGACACCCTACTAGGGGAACGGCTAGTTCCTACCCTTGATGGTCTTAGGGCAGTGGCCCCCAACCTTTTTTGTGCCACGGCCCGGTACCGGCATCACAAAATGATCCGCGGCCCGGTACCGGCATCAGCACGCATGACAAGGCAAGGCGAGCCGAGCGACCGGCCAGCCAGCCGTCTCCCGCTTCTCCCCGCCACCTTCAACTCCTCCTTTGTACCTTTGTCGATGGGCTTCTCTTCGGGACGGCTTCAGGACGGTCGCTCGGCTCGCCTTGCCATGCGTGCTGAAAGAATCCTCGCGCCTTAGTTTCGTTCAAAGCCCCCCCCCTTCGATGAAACTAAGGTGCGAGGATTCCTTCAGGACCCAAACGCCGCTTTCCAACCGGAAAAGCTCACCGGGAAGCACTTTCTCGTTAAACAAGATGGCGGCGCCCAGCAAACGGGCGGCCCGGTAGGAAATGTTCCACGGACCGGGATCGGTCCGCGGCCCGGTGGTTGGAGGCCCCTGTCTTAGGGGACATATAAAATGGGTGTCAGGATTCCGGCAGTTGTCCTAATTAAATCATGAGCCTTGAGCTCTTGGTGGCCAAGAATTGGGGTCCTTGATAATTCTTCGAGCTTGGTGGTGGGTTTTATTTTTTTTTTGCACCTGTTTCATTACCAAATTAGGTAATATCATCAGTGCAGTTTGCAAAGAGGAGGAGGAGGAGGACTGTGGGGTCCTGGGTGCTGTCTGAGCTTGGTGGTTTTCTTGCAGACGTTTCATGACCCAACTAGGGAACATCATCAGAAGGGAGTAGGGTTTGTAAAGAAGAAGAGGAAAAGGAGAAGGGGGGGGGAAATAGGAAGGGGGAGGAGGAGAAAGAGAAGGAGAGGAAGAGAAGGAAAAGGAGAACAGGAGGAGGAAACGAAGAGGAGGAGAGGAAGGGGAGGAGGGAGAGGAAGATGGACTGTGGGGTCCTTGGTGCTCTCTGAGCTTGGTGGTTTTCTTGCAGACGTTTCATGACCCAACTAGGTTATATCATCAGTGTTAGAAGGGTTTGCAAAGAGGAGGAGGAGGAGGACTGTGGGGTCCTTGGTGCTTTCTGAGCTTGGTTGTTTTCTTGCAGATATTTCATGACCCAACTAGGGAACATCATCAGTGCTAGAAGGATGTGGGATTTGTGGGGGGGGGGGGGAGGAGGAGGAGGAGGAGGAGGAAGACTGTAGGGTCCTTGGTGCTCTCTGAGCTTGGCTGTTTTCTTGCAGATCTTTCATGACCCAGCTAGCTAACATCATCAGTGCTGGAAGGGTGTGAGGGTGTGGGATTTGTGGAGAGGAGGAGGAGGAGGAGGAGGAGGACTGTAGGGTCTTCGGTGATCTCTGAGCTTGGCTGTTTTCTTGCAGACATCTCATAACCAAACTAGGTAACATCATCAGTAGTAGAAGGGAGTGGGGTTTGCAGAGAAGAGGAGGAGGAAGTGGAGCAGACAACGACTATGAGGTCTTTGGTCCTTGCCGAGTTGTTCGTTGTTTTCTTGCAGACGTCTCATTACCAAACTCGGTAACATCATCCGTGCTAGCAGCATCAAGCTCAGAGAACCCCAGGGACCCCCACGGTTCAATCCTCAGCTAGGGATAGATCCTCTCCTATAAAGTGTCCAAGGGTGCCAGAGTTCTTCGTGGCCACACCCGAGTTGGGCGGAAGTTCTCGGCGCGGTTCCGTTTGATGATGCTCTCGGTTCTTCCTCCCTGCCTCCTCAGGGACTGCTTGAGGGGAACCATCCTGAACAGCCCAGAACCAGAGGTCAAGTGCCCCTACATAGACGACAACTACTCCTGCCCTTGGCAGCTGCTGGACCGCGAGATCAAAGCGGTGAGTATCCAGGTGGGGGCCTCCACACCGGCCCCCACTTCCAGTCTTTTAACGGGCCTCGTGGCTGCCCCAGTATAGAAGAGCTGAGGTTTCCGGCACCACTCCCAACACCCAAGTGCTGAAGGGTGCTGGGATGTGTAGTTTAGCATCGCCTTCTGGGCCACGTCGCTTGGAGAACGTACAGGTAAGTCCTTGACTTGCAACGGTTCAGATGGATGGATGGATGAGGGAACCATTTTGTCCAATTCTTAAGATCGGCGAGGGTGAACCTATGACACGCAGGCCGCAGGGGGCACACAGAGCCGTTTGTGTGGGCACGTGAGCTCCAGCCAAACTTACCTGCGCTGCGCAGGTGCGCGCCTCCCAGCTGATTTTTTGGCCCTTTTGAGGAAATACCAGAAGTGCCAAAATGGGCCCCGTTTTTCGGCCTCCAAAGGCTGCAGAAGCTTCCCACAAGCCCCCGGGAGGGTGAGAACGGCCTCCCTCGGGCTCCAGAGGCTGAAAATGGGCCAGTATTTCCGGAAGACCTGTTTTTCGGCCTCCCGAGGCTGCAGAGGCTTCCCTCCAGCCTTCGGGAGGCGTAAAAAGGCCTCAAACATACCGAAAATCAGTTGGGAGGTGTGCGCATGCACAGTGCAGGTAAAGGGGTGTGTGGGGGGGGGGCATGCACGCATGAGGAGGGGGGGGGGGGGTCATTGCATTGTGGGTGCCGGTATTTGCACGCTTTTGGCATACTACAAGAAAATGGTTTGCCATCACTGTCTTCTTTCTGTCTGTCTGTCTGTCTATCCATCCTATATCAATTAGCTAACTTCTCTAAAGCCGTCTCCGTTTCATCCGTAGTTATTAACGGAGGAAGAATACCAGCACTTTCTGGACTTGGGGATGTCCATCGCTGAGAATCGCAGCCGGTCGAGTTTCCACTGCAAAACGACGGACTGCCGGGGTTGGTGTTTTTACGAAGACGATGTGAACGAGTTCTACTGCCCGGTCTGCCACAAACCCAACTGCTTGCTGTGTCAGGTGAGTTATTGTCCCAGCTTTGAACACCGCATCAGTCCTATATGTTTGAGTTAGTAAAGTTTTACACTTAGGCAAGAAAAGCCAAATGTACAGAGACAAGTTAGGCCTGTGATGGCGAACCTATGGCACGTGTGTCACAGGTGGCACGCAGAGCCATTGGTGCTGGCACGCAAGCCGCAGGGAAACTTACCTCACTACACATGCTTGTGCCTCACAGCTGATTTTCAGCCGGTTTGAGGCCTTTTTTGGCCTGCCAAAGGCCTGCAAAAAGCCCCTGCAGGCTTTGCAGGACAAATAATAGGCCCGTTTCATCACTTCCTGTAATACCGGAAATGATGAAATGGGCCTATTATATGGCCTGCAAAGCCTGCAGAGGCTTTTTTCAAGCCTATGGGAGGCCCCCAAAGACCTCAAACTGGCCGAAAATCAGCTGTGAGGCACAGTGCAGGTAACGGGGTGGCGGGGGGGCATTGCACACGTATGTGCAGGGGGCATGCACACATTGCCTTTTGGGCACAGGAGCCCAAAAAGGTTAGCCACCACTAGGTTAGGTGAAACTTGGCTCAATTGCAGCACCGTGAGAGGGATTTTGGAGTCCGTCAGGGGTGGGATTCTCCCAGCGTAATTACCGGTTCACTACTCGCACGCTTCGCGATTGACCTCCACATAGAACCGGTCCACTTTGCCAGAAAGTTTGGAACCGCTGCCCTACGGGGTGGATAACTGGCAGGGCTGTGTGTAAGGGAAGGTCGACTCAAGCTGACTGTTGTAGCCTGTCGGCCGCTGACGTAATCAGAGGCGGAGGAGCAGGAGACAGGGTCAGCATCAAGGCAACCTGGGAGCTCTGAGGGGGAAGAGGAGCTGGCAGAGAGAGAGAGAGAGGGTGGGAGGGAGAGAGAGAGAGAGGAGCCTGGGCTGCCCGTCAGCCCTCAGATGGAGAGTCAACAGCCTCCAGGTCTGGAGGTGGCTGATGAGGAAGAGGAGGAACAGCCGGGTCCAGTGCCTGATGCATAGATGCACAGAAGGCAGAGGAGAGGAGAGCAGTGGAAATCTATGGGCCGGTCCTTGGGACAGGAGAGCCAGGTCTGGAGGAGGCTGATGAGGAAGAGGAGGAACAGCTGGGTCCAGTGCCTGACAAACAGATGCACAGAAGGCAGAGGAGAGGAGAGCAGTGGAAATTTATGGGCCGGTCCTTGGGACGGAAGAGCCAGGTCTGGAGGTGGCTGATGAGGAAGAGGAGGAACAGCCGGGTCCAGTGCCCGATGCATAGATACGCAGAAGGCAGAGGAGAGGAGAGCAAATGGAAATCTATGGGCCAGTCCTCGGGACGGAAGCTCTGGGGATAAAAAGCCAGGGGGCAGAGATGAATAGGTTGTGGCAGACAACTATTCATCTCCCGGCCAGACGGCGGTGAGAGAGGAACTTTTTGCCGGGGCTCCTAATAAAGGAATCTTTTGAGTTCACTTCAGAGGGTTTGTCGTGTTTGGGGAGCTGAGTGAAAACACCAACCTTGGCTGTGGATGATGGATCAGGGTCCAAGTCGTGTTTTCCTCCGCAGGCTATTCACGAAAACATGAACTGCAAGGAATATCAGGACGATCTCCAGACACGCGCGCAGAATGACCACGCTGCCCAACAGACCACAGAGGTGTTGCTGGTGAGAAGGGCCATTTTATTACCGAATAAAGGAGTTTATAGGGGCGCCCAGCTCGTGGCAACTCCGGATGGCTTAAGAAATACACACACACACACAAAAACCCCGTAAGAAACTCCCGCTGGTGACGACAATCAAACCCACCACTGCAGGGCTCCGTAGCCTCCAGGGGTTCCCGGAGCCACCGGCAAAACCAGATCTCTGGGGGGCTTTTGGAAGAGCGCTGAGATGGGGGGAGGCCAATTTTATTTCTGCAGGGATGGTGTTCCACAGGGAGGGAGACACCAGAGGGAAGGCCATTCTTCTTGGTCCCACCAGGTGGACCTCCTTAGCAGAGAGGGCACCTGTATCTGCCTGCCTTCCTGCCTACCTACCTATCTATATCTCATCTATCATCTATCTGCCTGCCTATCTATCTCATCTA